CGGGAAACACTTTTCTGCACGCGGGTTCTCCATGACAACAGAACACTCCGTCGTGCAAAAGAGCTGCAATTCGGCAGGAACATAATTTAGCGGTGCCGAAGCACACACAATTAAAAAATCCACAACTTTGGGTTGTGACATTATGTTTTCCTGTTTTCCAAGTGATGATGTTATGCCATGAAAAAGCAGGGGAATTGAGCGGTAGAAAAAACTCTTGAATACTTTAAATTCCTTCCTTTTTTCATTCCATCCAGGAAGAGCACACACCAACTGCTGATACTTCCTTAGCCTGACAAAGGGTTTTTGAACCTGAAAGCTTGCTTAATAATTGTTTTCCAACTATTTAAGTTGGTCTAATAAAAGATATCAGATTCACCCAAAGAACCTTGTCTGCCTATGTCCTTAGACCAGCATGGCTACAACCTACACCCCTGCTTCCTTCTCCAACACATATTTGTCTCTCAGTAAAATGAGGGCTATTCTGAGGGGTGTGGAGTACCCACAAACCCATGGAAATCAGCGTGAGTTGAGAATACTCAACACCAACTTGCAGTATCTGTCTCATAATTAAAACTTATTCACAACAAAGTTACTGAGACAGGAACCTAAAGAGGTGCGGGCTGTCCAAGTTCACCACTACAGCTCCAAGACCCACTGGTTTGGAAGTAGTGCTCAACCAATATCATCTCAGTGGAGAACTGTGTGGGATGAGAAGAGTGTAGTGCCCCCACACTACACTCCAGAATAGTTGCTGAGGACATCTTGATGCCACTCAGGTTTCTCTGGATGGGGAATAGATTGCATGCTACTGTCACTCCAAGTGGGGTATGGAGTCACTGGGGATAGGGACAGAAATTACACATAAACCAGTATAAGTGATTGGAAACCAGTTCAAATCTGTAACACAACAGAAGTTCAGTGCACATAAACCACTTTCTAAATGGCTGAAACCTGTTTAAGATGAACCTAGATTGATGTAGTATCAGACTTGACTGATTTAGGTTAAATTGGTTTATTTACCTTATGTCCCAGACCCCCTGCAGACTCAAGTTAACGTACAGTCCCCAAGCTTCCCAGGAGGCTTTGCACCTCCCCTGCAACACCCTCCCCTCCTCCCTACCCTGCAGGCTGGGCAGGCTAACCTTGGCCCAAGCTGTCTGCTCCAGCTCAGCAGGGAGGTATGTTCTAGTGCCTCCTGGCTTCTGGCCTGGGCCACTGCAGGCATGTGTCTGCAGGCATACGTCCTCAGTGCAGGCACACGTCCACTGCAGGCATATGTCTGCAGTGGACATTAATCAATGAATTGATTAGCCTATACTTAGCCTGGGTGTGCAACAGGGACCACTGTTACAAAGAAGGAAGGAAAAAGAGGAAGGGCCTTTTAAGAGGGACAGCACAGACTAGGAGTCCTGTCTTCACAGGGGTATAACGGAATGGCCACAGCAGTAAAAGGCAGGAGTTCTCTAATAGTGGAGTTTTTGTAGGAGAAGGATGGACCCAGGATGCAAATACCATGAGTAGGCTTGGGGAAAGGCCATAATAGAGAGAAAGCAGACTAACACCAGGTGTGGAGCTGGCGGGGTGGTGAGTGGGGAGCAGTGGTAATGATGTGATTGCATCCCATCTTGCACTGTGAGGCACAGTAAGCTCTTCCCTCCCTGTCCCCCAACCCATGGGGTATTCCTGGGGGACCAGCCAGGAGCAGGCACCTGAAGGGGAGGACCCCTCGTCTGCTGCTGCTGCTGCTGTCCACAGCTGACCCAGGGACACACCTGCCTGACTCAGCTGCAGCAGACCAGGAGTGTCCTGTGGGTTCCCGCAGCTCTTGGGTCAGCTGTGGATAATAGCAGCAGTGGTAGGTGGGTACTCCTTTCCTGCATTTGCTCTTGGCCTGGCCTCCCTGGCTTCCCCCACTGTCCCAGGGTCTCCAGCCAGGCCTCACCTCCATCCCTCCATGGTCTGAGCTACGGCAGTGATTGCGTCTGCTTCAGTCTACTTTTCTTAATCCTACATCCACATATGACTAAGGCCAGGCAGGCCAGAAGGAAGGCTGGGTTACTGATTAGAATGACCAAAAGAAGTCTAAGGAAAGGCTGAAGCTGTGAAGCACCTGTAGAGACTGAACAGGTGTAAGAGACTCCCCAGAGGAATGATAATAATCTCCAAGGACATTGTAACATTGCTGTTGAGAGGCTGTACATAAGGAGACCCAGAGGAGGCTCCATCATGAAGGATGCTGTGCCCCTGCAAGGAAGGCCCTCTCTCCTGATGACTTGCTCATTGAGTTAACAACAAAGTGTAGCAGATGAGTCAGATAGGGGAGCTCTAAGACAGAGAGAGACCTGGTTTGTGCAGGGCCTGGCAAGACTGCACCTCATTTGATAAAGAAGACATCGGTGCTTGGTCCTGTGATTCTTTAATGGTGGATGGTGGATTCTATAATGTACCTGTGGCTCTCGACTGACTTAATGCAGTCCTACATCCTAGTTTGCCAGGGCAGCAGAAGCCCATGCAAAAACTTGACTTTCTCTCTCTTGACTTCTAGTCAAGCACTGCTAAATACCATTCAAAGCAACCTTCCATAGTTTAAGACTGGGGACCTTGGGTTTGCTAGCAGAACATACTCTCTGGCCCAGCAGGTTGGAAGGTCTGAGCTGTCAAAGCTGATGAGCTGATGCTCTTTATCCAACTCATTGAGAGAGGTTGTCATAAAGGCTAGGAACAGAAGTTATACATAAACCAGTTTAAGTGATCAGAAATTGGTTTAAACCTGTAACAGAGCAGAAGTTCAGTGCACATAAACTAGTTTCAAAATGGCTAAAACTGGTTTACGATAAATCTAGTTGAATGTAGTATCCGACTTAACTGATTTTAGTCAAACCGGTTTATGAAACTTCTGTCCCAGACCTATGAGCTTCCTTGTCTCACCTTGAATATTGGAAAACTTCAGTGAACTCAACAGGAGCAATATTTCCTAATTCTCTCTTCAGGCAGAGATTGTTGTATATATTGGTCACTTTGTGGTACTGGCCCATCCAGGGAATTGGTGCAGCCACCTGGTCATCCACCTGCAGGAAGAAAGCTGTTTTGAACTGAGAAATAAATACTGCTGCTATTCTACCCCTGCAAAGGTGAGGGCTGGATTGTGGTTGCCTAATGCACAGCAGTAGCACATATGATTCCAGAGCAAAGTGAAGGTCTGTCTTATGTTGAATTCTGCCTTATGGCTTGGCTACTTTCTAAGACATTCTCACTGGTGGCATGGTTTTGCTTTGACTTCATGAAAAGGCTGATGTCAGCAGGTCAGCATGACTAAGAACTGTCTGATGTTTTGCATTCAGATTGCACTCTTTCCTCTTTCAAGCCCTCTGCTGTTTGTTTTCACCATCAGAAAAGATCCTTAGAGCGGGGGCTGTTTTGTTAATGCTTTTGTCTATCTTAGCCAGAGCTGGCTGTCACATCTCCACTTTTTGAATTTGGAACAAAATAAATGGGGCAGTTGATATAAACGTGAGGATGGTCAGTCTCTAGTCTCTTTTACAAGTGTGGGTTGAAAGTCCTACTGGTGACGTGTCACCTTTCCTCCTGCTTACAGTCAGTCAGAGAGAAGTGGCATTTTGAAGGTGGTGATGTGTATGTCTATCTCCATTACTTTTCCTCACATTTTGCAGTTTCAGGTGCAGTTTTTGGTGACATAGTTGTATAGGTGGAAGAGACAAGGAGGAAAAGTATGATGGAAGGAGAAAAGGAGGCAGAAAAAGAAAAAAAGGAGAAAAACAGGAAAATGTGAAAGGTGCAGACAAAAAATATGCATCTTGCCAGAAAAACGCCTCTTGCTAGTCACTAGGCTTTGTCCAAAAGCTTATATTTAATCTAATATGCCTGGAACTTTGCGTGAGCTAAAGAGATTCAGAATAATTTCTAACTACCTGGCATTGTTCCTAGAGAAAGAATACATGTCAGCAG